CCCCCAAACCTTTCCCCTTTTCCAACCCCTCCTGGTCGTTTTCTTCTTAACTCTTTATGCATTCTCCGTCTTCTTTGCAGAGTTTTCTCCTTTTTCATGCCTCCTCCATCCCCGTGTCACCCACTTTTCCTCCCCCTTTTCCTCCTCCCGCTTTGAGGAATGCAGGGCAGCGTGGCTCTTCCTGCCGGTGGGAGAACGGGGACAGGATTCCCATTGATAGAGGTCCGGGAGTGGGGGGTGGGTTTAGGATGAACACACAGATGTGTGTCCAGTGTGCAGTGTATAGATTACCGAAAACAAAGTGTGTATTCAGCCTCGAGAAGAAGTGAACGTGTTCAAAAGTCAGATAAAAGACAAGTCAGACACCAACAGGGAGAGCTCTGTTCTGCTACTCCAGTCTAAGTAATGGCACCTTCAGTCTTTTTTAATTCAAGAAAACTGTGTTTTAGAGCAGATAGCTACACAAAAATAGGCTTTTTTGTGTTTGACTGTTTGGATTTCAGTCCATGTTACAACTCAGAAGTGGCCGGATAAGACGGGGGCAGATCTCCTGATTATGATGCGTCCATCAGTGTTTTTGTCCCATTACATTTTTTAAAGCTAGTTATTTAATTTCTATTGAAGCAAGACATTAATGTAGATTGTTTAGAAAAAACTATAGCATGAAATAGCAGGAGGACTAACTCTTTTCTCCAAAAGAACAGGTAATTGGTTTAAAAAATACCCTCACTCAGCTTTATTTTGTTACTCAGCTCCTACTAAAAGAAGGACTAAGACACTATGGCTTTTGGAGCTAAAAAATGTCTGACATCTTTAATTCAAACACAGTGCAAAAGAACTGACAGCCCCTTCACAAATGAGCCCATTAATACCAAAAAGAATGGCAGCTGTATTCTGAAATGAGAGAATCTCCTTGCTGGTTATCACTACTCGCTGTCCCACAATTAAAAATCCACATGATGGATAAGCTAAAAAATAAGTTAAAAAAGATTTTTTAAAAAGATGAAAAAGATGAAAAGCATCATTGTTTATATAACTAGAATAGGCTAATCCTGTGGAACACCAAATGCTGAATGGAGGAAGCAAAAGAAAAGCTGAAAAAGACATAGAACTGAAGAGTGGATGAAGAAAGGCAAAAGGATTAGAAGAACTTAAGAGTTTGACTGGATTTGAACCAGCAACCTCTCAAAATGGAGTAAAACCCTCTACCAATGAGCTATACCAGAGTCAGAAAGGCTTTATAGGACTACAAAACAAGAATTTAAAGGGACTGAAATGCCAGTGACCAGCAGAGGGAGCCATGTTTTTCACTCCTTTCATTTCAACGATAGAAAATAAAAGCAGAAAAATTTAAATAACTTAAAAATTTAAAAGATTTGAACACCAAAAGTAACAGCTGCATAGTGCTGAAGGAGCTGAACATTTTGAGACCTTATGTGTTGAAATAGGCTGAAAACTGTGGGAGTAGTTAGACGCAGAAAAAGAGAAACAGGAACACTATTATTATGCCGCAGTGCTTTATTGGAGAGCTTCTGGTCTGGGATTTCTTTAAGGAAGTAAAGAAAAACTTTCAATTATATACACAGGACTTACCTCACTCCTAGGAGAAACTTCCACATGAAGCGTTTGGCATCTCCAGTTTGCACCCTGTGCTCAGATGGACTTATGGGATCCTATTTATGTACATATTTACTGGGAATGCCAGGATGAGAGTTTTTTTGGGGGTGAGGTTTGCTCTGCTTTATCTAATGTGCTGGAGGTTGGTGTACCATGTTCTCCCGTTGTGTTACTCCTGAATGATAACAAGTCCCAATGGATTAATATGTACACTGACATAATAAATAATAAATCTGGAACTTTCAGTGGCAAAAACGCACGGTGCTGGAGCTAATACTATCCAAACATGGCAAACAATGGCGGATAAGATCCAGGAATTCCTGTAATCACCATTTTTGTTTACATGTGTTGTTAAAATATGGCCTCTTAGGTCCTGTAAGAGTCCTGTAGAGATCCAAGCTGGGGGGTGGGTTTTTGTTGTTTTGTTTTGTTTCTATGTGTTCCTTTCTGTTGTATTAGGTTGTAATATAGCCTTTTACCTTTATCGGACTAATGTACCTGTTTCTCTTTGAAATAATTGAACCCTTTAAAGCCTGATCCAAGAAAAATAGGAAGAATGTTGGATTTTCTTAGTCTGAATTCTTTCTTTTGCCCCTCAACAAAATATGAAGAAAAGAAAACGGAAATGATTTTGATCAAATTAGCGTGCAATAAGTCAAAACTATATGTTGGTGTGGTCTTCTACTGGCTGTTATCAGGTATATCTGAATGTGTACAACAGGGGTTTGAGCAAAGCTTTTACCACTGAATGATGCAGAAAGTCTCAGATCCAAAAGACTTCAGAAACCGTATCAAATATGACACATTTGGCATTATAGGGTTAAAGATCGTTGGCAGTGGTGAATTCAGCATATTTACATGACTGGGAACAAACAAGACCATTAATCATAGGGTTAAAAAAGTTGTTCACAAAAAAAGGTAGTAAGGAAAACCAGGAGTCAGCTTGGCCCCTGTGTCCTCATGTTCCCAAAAAATTGATAAAACTGAGTAAAAGCAGGTTTTTTTCTGTCGTATTCCAGTTTCTTGATGTCTCTTGCTCCTGTTTTGTCCTTTCCAGTGTCCAGTACATGTCCCACTTCTCTTTTCTGTTCTATATCTTTATTTCTACATTGTATTTCCTTGCTTCTCATAGAAGTGTTGTGCACCAAACACCAAGGCAAATTCCTTGTAAGTCTAAAAACCTACTTGGCAATAAACCTTATTCTGATTCTGATATGGCGTGAGGTTTTGGTCCTGATGGTCCTCAACCTTCTGCCAGAGGGGAGAGCTTAACTCATTGACTGTCAAAGACGTCTAAAGACGTCTTTTATGTTTTTCAACCAGAGTGGCTTGGGGAACGATCGGCGAAAGTTTTTCCGTAAATATCTGCTTCCAGACAGAGTATGTAGTTACAAATTGACCCTCTAGGGGGCAGTGCCACTTTTGATGGGAGATGAGCATAGATTGTAGGCAAATAAGAAAAAGCTAACGGTTCTATGAGAGAACATGTCGCCGGTGAGACGCAAGTCCAGGAAGAACGGAATAAGAAGAGAAGAGAGTCTACTCTTTCTTTTGGTGTGTTCGGTGTTTACATAGTCATAGCACAAACTATTCTGCGGCTCTTGAAAAATCAGTCAAAATGCTCAAAAAACTCTGGCAGTGAGCGACCCTCTGTTCTGAAAATGGCTGGCAGTCAATGAGTTAAAAAAGCAGGTTTTTTTTCTGTTGTATTCCAGTTTTCTGACGTGTCTCTGGCTCTTGCTCCTGTTTTGTCCTTTCCAGTGTGCAGTACATGTCCCACTTCCCGCGGCGGGACCTGCGGGCCTTCTCGGTGGAGCCGCTGCTCATCTACCCCACGCACTACACGGGCGAGCCGGGCTACGTCAGCGACACGGAGACCTCCACCATCTGGGACGACGAGGCCACGCCCACCGACTGGGACCGGAAACACGCCCGAAAAACGGCCCAGCAGGGCCGCATCCGCCCGCTGGCCCAGAACAGCGTGGGCGGGGAGTCGCCCCCGCCCGCCGCCCGCGGATCAAGGGACGAACTCTGAGAGAACAGAGAGAGAGAGAGACTCCGAGGGGGGGGAAAGAAAAGGGAGGAGATGATGACTCCACACAAACTTGAATGGACACTTTTACGCATTCACACACAGACATACGGACATACGGTACGGAGCCCCCTAGGGGACATGGGGAATTTTTTTTCTTTTGCGTTCCATCTCAATATTTTTGCGTTCCCTCAAAATATTTTTGCGTTCCCTCGCAAAACCTTTTGCGAGGGAACGCAAAAGTTTGAGGCAGCGTTCCGGAAACAGACGACAATGGAGCAATTCTGCATACTGACTGCGTTGGGTGGATGTGCTTTCTAAAACCTCAGACTATGAAGTTATATAAACCACATATACATTTTTTTTTTGCATCCATGCTCTGTTGTATGTGTTTTAAGTCAAGTCAAGTCAAGTCAAATTTTATTTATAGAGCACATTTAAAATTACCGAAGTTGCCAAAGTGCTGTACAGGTAAAAATAAACATAAAAAGCTAACATAACGAACATTTAGCAGACAGTACGAGTGTACTGTCTGCTCCATTGTCGTCTGGTACCGGAACGCTGCCTCAAACTTTTGCGTTCCCTCGCAAAAGTATTGCGAGGGAACGCAAAAGGTTTTGCCCGAAAAACGGCCCAGCAGGGCCGCATCCGCCCGCTGGCCCAGAACAGCGTGGGCGGGGAGTCGCCCCCCCCCGCCGCCCGCGGATCAAGGGACGAACTCTGAGAGAACAGAGAGAGAGAGACTCCGGGGGGGAAAGAAAAGGGAGGAGATGATGACTCCACACAAACTTGAATGGACACTTTTACGCATTCACACACACACACAGACACACATGAACACTCACAGGTAGGGATGGGGATCGTTAATATTTATTGATATCGATACCTTTATCGATACTCCTTATCGGTCCGAGTCTTTATCGATACCACTATCGATAATCTTCTGTTATTTGGTGGAAAGACGATGCGACAATATTTAGCAAATAAATAATAGTATTTAACTGGCGGACTATCCAGGGTGACCCTGCCTCTCGCCCGTTGACCACTGGGATAGGCTCCAGTTTCCCCCGCGACCCCATGAGGGAATAAGCGGTATTGATAATGGATGGATGGATGGATGGATGGATAATAGTATTTTAAATTAAATGTAATTTTTAATAAATGTTGGCATCAGTTGTTTAATTATATATTCTAAAATAATTAGAGCAATATACAACTGTATTACTCATGTTTCTCGCCAAAAACTCAATTTCCCTTTTCTTTACATTACACTTGAACGCATCATGATAACCTAATTGTTGTTTTACTGAGCCAATCTGAACACGTCTGAAACTTTTACTTTTCAAGCTAACTAGCTTGTATGCTGCCGATTTCACAATTACTATTGTAATAATAAAAAAAAAAACGACCAGACTCGATAGTGGTATCGATAATAAGCCCAAACGTTACTGATTTTCGGGTTTTGAAAAAAGTGGAACCGGGTCCTTGATAGAACCGGGTTTCGATCCCCATCCCTACTCACAGGTGGAGAAAAAGCGGGACTCGGACGCCCAGTTTACGAGAAATGGAGAGAAAACGGAGAGGAAGAGGAGCAGAATCTGCGACGAGGGCCAGAAAACCTTTGACAAAAGCTTTATTTATTCGCTGTGTGCCTCTTCTGGGCACGTGGACACACTTATGGCCTGAAACTTAACACTTAACTCGTTGACTGGCAGCCATTTTCAGAACAGAGTCCCATACTGCCAGAGTTTTTTGAGCATTTTGACTGATCTTTCAAGGGCCACAGAATAGTTTGTGCTATGACTATGTAAACACCGAACACACCAAAAGAAAGAGTAGACTCTCTTCTTTCATCAGGAAAAAAAAGTGTTTCTACCTTATTCCGTTCTTCCTCGATTTGCGTCTCACCGGCGACATGTTCTCTCATAGCAAACCGTTAGCTTTTTCTTATTTGCCTACAGTCTATGCTCATCTCCCATCAAAAGTGGTACTGCCCCCTAGAGGGTCAATTTGTTACTACATACTCTGTCTAGAAGCCGATATTTACGGACAAGCTTTAGCAGATCGTCCCCCAGCCACTCTCGTTGAAAAACATAAAAGATGTCTATAGACGTCTTTGGCAGCCAATGAGTTAAAAGACGGCTAACATAGTTTCAAAGATGTGAAAGAAATAAAAAAAACATCCTCATCTGAGTTAGTTTTTTCAACGGAAAAAGTATTTTTGCTATTTAAACAGACGTGTTTTGACAGAAAAAGCTGAAGAATAAAAGAATATTCACATTCTTTCATGAAACTGAAACATCCCGGCTGTATTTCAGGCTTTTTTTGAGTGTGAGGGAACATGTGTGTGTACTTGAGAGGCCTGAGTGTGTCCTGAGGGTCCTAAGATGAAGTCATGCTAACACACAAACGAGAAAGAATGAAAACGGAGCCGTTTCTTGCCAGTAAGAGACATCCAGAGTGTCTGGGGTTGTGAATCTTCTTTAGCAGGCTGGTCCTGCCATCAGGACCAATAACGTCCCGTTTTTTTAACCTCACGAGCCGAAAACTCTGGAGAAAAAGCTTTGGATTCTTTTGAAATCTTCTTATCCTCAGCACAGACTTTTCTTTGTTCGGTCGAACCAATAAAACGACTTCCCCACTCCTGTGTTTTCATTCACTCCATAAAGTGACACAGATGTTTTTTGCCTTTTCTTCTTTTTTTTTTTTTTACAGATATCCGGGTTAGTTTCGTCTGGCCTTTTACATTCAGCCACATGGAAACAGAACACTTTCTTTCTGCTTTCTGCCTTCATTAAGTAACGTTTATTATTTTTTAGTCACAAGAAAATACTTATTAATAATATTAATATCATTCCTGGACAACTGGGTAAGCAAATCGAGCGCGCCTTCTCTAAGGTCTAAGGTAGAGGCATTAGAGAGGCTAAAGCTCTTTTCTTTTCTATTTTTTTTTTACAGATATCAGGGTTAGCTTTGTCTGGCCTTTTTACATTTAGCCACATGGAAACGGAACACTTTCTTTCTGCTTTCTACTTTCATTAAGTAACGTTTATTATTGTTTAGTGACTAGCTTAATTCCCCCACGGTTCCCATGACCTCCTGGTGTCTCTGAATGGGCAGACGTTTCCTCCTGATACAGAAAAAGCCTGATAAATACGGTGGCTGAGAAGTTCAAAACACATTTACAATAAAAAAAAAAAAACTTTGAAAAATTAAAAAACAAAATAACATTGTAAGATACGCATTCACAATTAAAGAAACACATCCATCCATTTTGTGAACTGCTTATTCCCAAATCTACGGTGGCTGAGAAGTGCAAAACACATTTACAATAAAAAAAAAAACGTTGAAAAATTAAAAAACAAAATAACATTGTAAGATACACATTCACAATTAAAGAAACACATCCATCCATTTTGTGAACTGCTTATTCCCAAATCGTTGACATGAACAAATGAAAAAACAATATAGCATTTTAAGAAACGAATTCATTTTTTAGGAGACAAACATTTTTGAAAAAGATTGTTTCTTAAAATGTTATGTTTTTTTAATTTGTAAATGTGTTTTCTGAACTTTAAATGTGTATCCTAAAATGTTATTTAGCTTTTTTAAATCATAAGGTGTTTTTTAAATTGTAAATGTGTTTTGCACTTCTCAGCCACCGTAGATAAAAGATGAAAGAGCCGTCGTGTGGATCTTTAACGGTGAGTGGATTCTGCTCACGGTTTTATGCTTCCTGTCTGCTCTGGGAATGGATGAGAGGCAGGACCAAACAGGCCAGCAGGGATCGGGCTTATGTCCACATGCCAGCAAAAAGGAGAATAAAAACAGAAAATCGGACTGGTTTGATTGTTATATGTTACAATGGGTTTGCTAAGCAAAACTAGAGTTATTTATCACACACCTACAGGGGGAAATAAGTATTTGACCCCTTGCTGATTTTGCAGGTTTGCCCACTTACAAAGAATGCAACGATCTATAACTTTAATCATATGTACATTCTAACAGTGAAAGACAGAATCCCAAAGAAAATTCCAGAAAATCACATCATATGAATTTATAAAAATTGATAACCATGAGGAAAAAGAAGCATTCTTTGTAAGTGGGTAAACCTGCAAAATCGGCAAGGGGTCAAATACTTATATCCCCCACTGTATAAAGCTTTTGATCATCACGTTTGTTTGTGTTTCTGATCCCCAGAGAACCTGGGGGTCAGAAACCTGGACACATTTAACCCTATAATACTAAATGTATCATATTTGATTCATATGGTTCCTGAAATGTTTTGCGTCTGACACCTTTTGCATAATTTAATGGTAAAAACTTTGCTCAAAATCCTATTGTACACAATCAGATACACCTGATAACAGGGGGCAGAAGACTACACAACAAATAATCTTGACTTATCGCATGGTAATAAATTATTAATATTAAAATGTATTTCATTTTTTCTTTTTTACATATTTTGTAAAAAGGGCAAATAAGGAATTCAAACCAAAAAAAAGTAATTTTCTGTTTTGTTTTATTCTTGGATCAGGCTTTAAAGGGTTAATATGGACGCATTTAATATGACTCATGTTTTAAAGTGAGTTTTGTTGCAAACTGCAGCTCAAAATGCTGCAGTGGGTTTAAATCATCAGCACTCTGCTGCCACCTGCTGGCCACCACTCACACTGCAGTTTAATTTGACTACTTTTTATTCTGCATAGGTAATGCTACAGAGCATTAGATCATAAATCAAAGTTCTAATAAATTAGCTTCAATAGTTAGATTTCTCTCACTCAAAAGTAGTGAACAAGTTCCTTCTGTTTCAGGTTTGGGTCTTAAACTATCACAGTATCAAATACTGCATTTCGTGGTCCATTTGTCTTAATTTATGTCCTTAACTTTAACCCTTTAAAGCCTGATCCAAGAATAAAACAAAACAGAAAATTACTTTTTTTTTGTTTGAATTGCTTATTTGGCCTTTTAACAAAATATGTAAAAAGAAAAAACAGAAATAC